TTGTTTTCGTTGGTATTTTTTTCATTTGGTTTCCTTTCATTGGTCTTTTTTTTATTTGGATTCTTTTCGTTGGCTTTCTTTTCTTTTAATTTCTGTTTTTTTAACGGCATTTTTTATATCAAATAAGTCCAAATGATAAACGACACTGCAGATAAAGTTGAGAATAAATTATCTGAAAACGAAAAAGTATGAGTTATGTCAATATTGCTAAGATATTGTCTATCTTTTCAGTACAGAGGACACCTAAATATATTTCGAAGTTAGAATCCAGCGAAATTTTTTATTATTTTGAATTAATCTTCTAGTTCAAAACACATCATACCATCATCGATTTTTCCAAATGATTAAAGATACGAATTCTAATATGTTGTTAATTTCACCAATCATAGATACATGATAGTATTAGTACTACTACATAAACAAACAAAGAGGGATATTTAAAATGAAATAAAAAAATTCATTCTCTGGTTAAACCATTGGATAGATCGCGTGGTAACCTATCAAATTAATTTTTTGCCAGTGTCGTCAGCTAATTATCATTTACAGAAACACAAGTACAATGTAACTGAGAAATTTTCCGAAAAAATTATTTCATCCAATTAGTCGTTAATAGTAATTCGTCGCTGTTTCTAGAATATTCAACTTTTTTCGCCAAAAGTGCTACCATTTCTATTTTAATATAAGCGCTTTTCAGTAATTTTAATTTTTCAAGGGGTTATTTTGCTGCATGTCTAGATAAACCATTTCGATTATGCATTCTCTAAGTACTTTGGATTGCGTCGTAAAAACTGATCTTACTCAAAGTGTAAAGAAAGCTTCAATCACAAACTTACTATTGAAGTTAGTTGAAGCTCCAAAAAAAGTATTATTAAATGTCACATAGAAAAATAATTTCAAAAGTAACATACAAAAGTACTATTAAGTAATTCTGTGACGGCGTCAATGAGCTATCAATTATGAAAGTATTTTTAAGTACTTTATCACCAAAAGTAATTAATAGTACTTTTCTATTGAAAAGTAATATTAAGTTGTAATTGCGCCATCTCAAGTCGGTTCAATATATAAGGCAGTTCTAACAGTAGATGTTCGTATTCAAATTTGGCTCTGTTATTTGTATACTCGAAAAAAGTAAGGATTTTTCGCGAAAAGTTCGAATCTCGCCTCCGGAAACAAAATAAGTAAAACGTATACTAAAAAGTACTATGGAATTGTTGGTGTTACAAGGTGCAATATCTAAGTAAGTAATAAAAAGTAATATTAAAAAGTAAGCAATATAAAAATACTATGACCAAAGTAAGTAATGAAAAGTACTATAAAAATGTTCGTAGAAACCCACGTAAGCAAAAGTATAAAAAAAGCAACATTTAAATACTATATCTGATAATTAATTAATATAAAGTAACTATTACAACTATTTTTTATTTTTTCTAGTAATTTTCGACACTTTTCCTACTTTTACTTATAAGTTTACTAAAATTTACTTTAAAAGGTTCACTTATTAGTGACTTTTCGTACTTAACGCAAAAGAAAGAAAAGTAAATAATAGTGACTTTTTGGACATAAAATTTTTACATGGGGATCACTCTTTGTCAAATAATTTCATACGATCTTTAGTTAAAGACTGTTCACCTCGACCGTTTTTCGTCGCTCAGTCGATTTCACCCGTCAAGGATTTTCGATTTTTCAATATTTTTACTCGAATAAATACTCTGCTTCGAACGGGTTTGAGATTGGGTTTGGCGTGCGATAGGTTTGGCGGATTTAGAATTTGAAGAAGCTAAACCCACGCATCACTTAGATTCGCAACTCATTTTGTCTAAGATACCTCGAGCTAAAACGCTGTGACGGCGCATTAAATTTTTAGCTAACAAGTGAACACCTTTGAGAGAGAGAAAATTAAGTAAAATCTCTCGTTTTTGCACAGATATCAAACGACACTTAGTACATCCTTAAGTATCAATACAACTGACTCAGTAAAATTATTACCTCCATGAACACTCGGCTGCTTTTCGTCTTTCTTATGTTCGCTATGGGTGAGTCGCCGTTCTTAGGGTTGAAGTGAGGGAGATACCAAGTCGGGTTTTTCTACGTTCTTTAGTTAGTGGATGTGCATACAGTGTTAGTACTTGTCATGTACCAGAGTGTGACCCAACGTGTACCAATGGTGGCGATGTGGCGACATGTTGCAAAGTTCACAGATGGTGGGGAGGAGGAAACTGTCAAGGAAGTAAAGCCTATTGTTTCCCTCATGCTGCCAGGTGTTTTACAAAAATCCATGAGTCTTATTGCAAAATAAATCAAGATTGTTGGCCTAATAGCAACAATCAACCCTATGGTTGGGCTCAATTAGCAACACTTAGTTAGAAGGTGCCCGTTTTGAAGATCGAAATACTTTCGTTGTTCTTTTCTGTTTATCTTTTAATATAATCATTATTTTTAAAGTTTGTCAATAAAACTTAGAACATCATCTAAATACCTATAAAAAACGAAACTTTTCTAATATTTGAATCAAAGCCTCAGTTTCAGGTTTAGCAATTCGTTGACTCTGAAGTGCCGCTTTTTTATTAGAGTTGTGTTTGAATGTAGTAATTAGAAATTTCTCCAGCAGCAATAGAGAACAATTTCTTTAAGTTCAATATACACAAAAGTAGCCATGGCGCAGCGTTAATTCATATCCGCCAGTTCCATGCTCACCGAAAGATACCAGCTGAGCGCTGAGGTAATCATCAGAAGCTACATTTTATTACATAGATTCTAATGAAAAATGACTGAGCGTGAATAACTTTCTCTATGTTTTCGCGTTTAGAGATGTACTTGGTGAATCAAAATGTGGAGCCTCCTAACAAAGAACTCGTATGCTGATAGAAACCAGTGAAACATGGATGATTCTTGCTTCTGATCAAATGAAAAACACAAGAATTTTCGCAGGCTACCTTGGCTTGTGTTTTAGTGTTGTGCCATCTTTATCATATTATTCGCCGCGTTATCACAACGATCAAGCACGAAACAGCACCAAAAAATCATAGGCAAGGCGAAGGTTAACATCAACAGAACGATAGCACTGACACCGCTGGCTAGTACACAACCAGTTCGTGCAAACAATGCCAATTGGTCCTAAAGTGAAGGTTCGTACATTTTTTTGTAAACGAAATGGTGAACAACACCTACTGATCGCTCGTGTTCACCTTGATTGTTATAGTGGCAATACGAAATAGCTCACACGAGGCGATATAGACGATAACGTACAAAATGGCCAGAACTGATACTTGGCAAAATTTGATGAGTGAAGGCTACGAAATACAAGATCATAGCTATCAGAGTGAAAAGCTAAAAACTAACCTTGGCTTAGGGTGTGGGTATGGGTGTGAGTACGTTCTTCATTAGAATACTCACCCACACCCACCCACCCTACTCACTTTTTGAGTACACAAAAATAATACTAAATTTCCCGAAAGTTTATAAATCATTAGAATATCATCAACAACGAAAAGATGTCTATAACATTTGATTCGACAATTGAATAGCAGGTTAACAGGTTACGATAGTGCTGCCCTGTAAAAATTTTGTAACCTGGCCCTGCCCTACCCTAATAGGGCAGGGCAGGGCCAGGTTATGTGCACCCTGCAGTGTTCTAATTATTATCAATTCACACACTAATATTCTAATATCGCTATTTTTATTATTAAATTTATCATACCATAAGATTATTATAAGATAGTAAATAAAAATATATTGAAAAAACTTTTAAAACTTAATTAAGATTATTTAAATAATCGTATATCAATTTGTTTTTTTTTTCTCATTACTATTCAGTCAATAGGATTAATATCAATAACACATTTACACTTGATAAATTTTAGACTTTTTTTTCATATTTATAGATTTTTTTTCTTGACTCTCCAATCTATACTCATTGTTCAATAATTCTGTCTAACAATAGAAATAGATTAAAATATTATAGAACTAAAAATAGTCAATGAGTACGAAACTCGTTAAAACAAAATTTATATTCTCATACTTCTATACACAATCGTTGTATTATCATGTACTATATGTAAAAGCTAAGATTTGGGTGTGGAGTGTCATAAAAATTCTTGTATTCTTCTAAGTTGAAGGTCATATGAGATTATACTTTCTAGAATACTTAACGATTAATATAAAAAGAAATATATGCATTATATATTAGTTAAGTATTTTTATCTTATGTGATATTAATATAACTTTCGAGTCATTTTTTGAACTGTGTCTTATCAAATTCATTTTTTCAAAATGATATCATATTCTAAATATATACTATTAAATACCTTATTATATTTATTGAAGTCTGAGTGTCAATCGTATATGTTGATACGTTATCAAATTTCTTTTAAGCAAAGATTTCAAGTATTTTTCGGGTACTTCTCATTTCTCAAAATAAAATAAAATAGTAATATAATTCACTTATATACATTTGTATACATGTATATCCAAACTTCATTAATTTTTTTTTTGTTCACTTACTCGTTTGTCTACGTCTTCAGATATATATTAGAGATTCAAACGGGCCACTTGAAAATGATATACAAACTTCATTCATTTTCATAAAATCACATTTAAGCATGATACTTCTGTTTAATGGAAAGTTGAAAATTCTCATGAATGTTCAATAAGAAAATTTTTAATGTAGTTATCGAGATTGAATTAAGTTTCACTAATTATTTCTATTGTATTGTATTGTTAGTATAATATTGAAATGAAAAAACAAAAATATAAAAATATAAACAATTAGAGTAGATCTTCAAAAATTAGACCTCTTTTGAAAATAAGAAGGAAGAAATTGATAGATTAATAAAGAGACAATCTATTGAAAATAAATATGCATATAAATCTTTCTGATTTAATTGTCAAACTGAAAGCAGCGCTTTCTATCGTCATCATTCTATTTTCTCGATTCTTATTCGTATAAAAAAGGAAACCAACAGAATTGCTTTATTATCTGTCATTTGATGTTATTCTTGTTTATGAAAAGTCGTATTGTTACTGCTCGAAATTATTTAGGGATGAAAATTATCTTAACATTTTTTTTCTTAATCATTATTTATCTATGTTCTCAATTAGTCAAATCATCGAAATTAGAACGAAACTCAATAAAATTATCATATTTACAATTACTACGAGGTTTATTCATTTCAATTTAATCATATTTTCTATTTTTCTTTTGTTTTTTTATTTTTAATAGAAAAACGAGCAGTAAACGAAAAAAAATTAGCTCCATATAATTCAATAGTTGGTATAGCTTCATCAAATGCAGCTGCTTATTCAAATGGTAATGATAGTTATATATCATATGAAGATAGTTATTTATATGGTATATATATGGGAATAAAATGGCAATGTGTTGAATATGCGCGTCGATGGACTTTTTTACGTAAAAGTTCGATATTTGAAAGTGTTAATGGTGCTAATGATATATGGAATCAGATAAAATATATTGAAAGAGTTATTGATAAAGAAAAATTTCCATTAAAAAAATATTCAAATGGTTGTCCAATTCGTCCAATAAATGAATCATATTTAATTTATCCAATACAAAAAGATATGCCTTATGGACATGTTGCTGTTATTGTTGATGTTTTACAAAATTCAATACGAATAGCTGAACAAAATTTTTATTTTAATTATTGGACAAAAAATTATTCTCGTGAAATTCCATATCAATTTATAAATGGTCTTTATTATATTCAAGATATATATGATATATATGGATGGATGCAAATTGATGATCAACAACAATTAAAATCATTAGATAATTTAACAATAGAAAAAATTCAAATGAGAAATGAAAAAATCTTAGATGTAACTTCTTCTTCACAATTAACTAGTCGTATTTATTATTTTCTTGTATTTTCTGTTCTCTTCATATCTCAATTCAAGTTTGATGAATATATATTTCTCTAAGAAAAAGTTATTTTCTTTATCTCTTCGTCTTTTGAGAACTTTTATTATAGAATTGAAGTTTTTATATACATAGTTTGTTTTTATATGATATGTAACAAGTCTTGCAGTGGCACTACGTTCCCATGTTTTTTTTTAAGTGCACTCTTTTTTTTCTATTTATGAATGAATGCCATAGTATTGAAAGATTTATTGATATAAAATAATATCTAAACTATAATGAAACTTTATTGTATAATCACTAGTTTATTTTTCAAGATTTTACGAGTGCTCTAAAAGTGACTTAACACTTGTCAGTAGAGTAAACAATTATTTATAAATAATAATTAATGAATAATTTAATACTTATAGCATACCAAAAGTAATGAGAGTGACATTTTAACACTGTATAGGAAACTTAAAGAAACTTTCTTTCTATGTGCTATTTGATTATGCTTCAACTAATATTATAATACTAAAATTTCGATAAGATGTGTTTCGTCATCATATGTGTTGGTTGTATTAATACTTATTTTAAAAAATACAAATGAGTATTTTTTGAATAAATTTTGATAAAAACAAGATAGAAATTTAGGTTTTGCCGTTGGAAAGAGAAGATGAGGACGCATTGAATTATGTATTCCAGATTTTCCTAATATGTTTTTTGTAAGTTTTTCAATTCATCTGTTTAAATACAAACCTATCTGGTAAGTTGTTTACAATGAATTTTCAATAATCAAGTGTAAATTCAAGCCACTAATCCAAGATCTACAAAGTTCTGAAGGCTGAGATCAATACTATGCATTCTTGTCAAACCTCTAATATGATTTTGTCGCTAAATCTGTGAAGAAAGCTCACTTTTTGCTTTTTCCTTTTTTTCATAGAAAAAGCATTTTTACGATTGTTAGAAAATTGAATAAAAATACTGCAGAAGTCAATATTAGAAAAATCTACAATACACAATTCAATGCATCTTCATCTCCTCTTTCCAATGGTGAAAACCAAACTACTCTATCTTATTTGTATCAATAGTTATTCAAAAAATACTCAGTAACATTCATAGAATCGTGACACATGAGAACAAAACAGATCTAATCGAAATTTCATTAATATGATATTAGTTGAAGTATGATCAAATAGTATAGAAAGATAGAACTTTTTTTCTCTATCAGACTGTATAGAAAGAAAGTTTCTTTAAGTTCACTATACGATATAAAAGTGTCACTCTCGCTACTTTTGGTATTCCCTAAGTATTTTAAAAAACGTTTCTTTTTGTTCTATTTATTTCTTTCTATATTTATTGTTATATTCATCGTGAAAAAAGAAACAATAATTTATGAACAAATCATTCTCTTTCAAGTTGTTCATCGGATGCATTCGGTATCATTTCAAAGAAATATCACAGAATAATATCTCGAATATTGCTGAAGGATTTTTCCTGAAACATTTTTATCAAGGTTATTTCCACTTTCAAATTGTTAATATTTTGAAGCTTGATGTTAAAGCTGCAGTCACTCAATATTTCATCGATATATATATATATATATATATATATATGACAGATACTAGACGACATGGATGTTCCGAGCCCAAGCCTAAACCGAGTAGCTTGGACTCATTTTCTCTGAATTTATCTTGGTGTCGGTTTTTTAAATTTTATCTTCTCACAAGCATTTGCTTATTTATTTATTTTTTGCACATCAATAACACTACGTTGATTTTACTGTGAATTTATTCGTACACGATAATTCATAGGTGTCTGTAGAAATGTACCGCGCCCGAGCTCTTGGGCTCGATACATGCCTCTCCACAACCGCCATAACCAATGCACAATCGACGATCTCCAGGTCTATTTTTTTAAAATTCTTTATTGTATAAATTGATTCAAGACTTCTGAATCTTAATGCTATCTTAAAGAGAATACATAAGAAAATTTTAGCAGGAGTTGACTACCACAATTATCACTATTAACAAATAGAACTGAAACTTGTAAAAATTTTAGATCGATTGGTCTGCCGGTGAACTGATCGGTCGCTGGTAGACTGGTTGCGACCGATACCGGTATCGGTATTCAAAAAGGCAGACCGGCTCTTGAGGGCGTGGATGAGGTTTTTAATGAAGAGTACATTACCACTCATCCCAACACCTATAAACACGTGCACCAATAAATATATTATTTTGTTTTTGTCTTCTCTAAATGCACTAGACATCAAGAGTGATATGTTGCTTTCCATTGAGAAGAGAATGATTTTATGGTATAAGAACCACAAGAAAACACGTAGGTGAAGTTAGCACCCGATTCGAGTAATTCTGCTGCTGATTCGCTCCGAAACATGTTCTCGGTGTTCCAATGGAGTTACAAGTACAACCCGATAAGCTCTATCGAATGGTGTATTAAGATTTTCCAAAGCTCAAACTGAGTTTCCAGAAATCCCTGAATACTGGTCCAAAATGCCAAGCAGCATAGTAATTCTACCGCTGATTCATCCAGAAACATGTTCCAACTGTTCCATTTGTGTTCAAAATACAACCCGATGAGCTCTATAGAATGATGAAATCCGTTATCTTAAAGCATTCGTGCAAAAAGTGAAGAATACTGTTTTTTTCCAGGGACCATTTGCAAAACTGTTAGTAATTCCACCACCGATTCGCTTAGGAAGTGTTTCAGGTTGTTACAGAAGAGTTCCAAGTACATTTTGTATTTGAAACACAATCGGAACATATAGAACATGTCATTCAGCAAATCTCTGCCAATTTTACTTTATGACCTCTAACATTGGGGCAGCTTTTTTCTGATAATTAGACACAGAGCTTGAGCTGTGGAAAATCTGAATACACCATTCGGTAGAGCTCATCGAGTTGTACTTGGAACACAAATGGAACACTTGGAACATGTTCCTGAGCGAATTGGCGGCAGAATCACTCGAATGTGACGCTAACTTCACCTACATGTTTAAGTGAAAGTTATCGGAGCAAGGTTTTTTCTATTGCGATTCAAAATCAAAAACAAGGAATACATATTAACAAAACGCTAAATATAGAAAATATTCTATCAAACATGAAATTACTTTTGTTGTATTTGTTATTTTGTTATATCAATGTTAATCATGGTAAGATTAATATAAACGACAACTCTTTTTTTCTTGATTTTTAAAGGTGATTTGGCTTATACTACTGTGGTGACATTTGGTGATTCATTAAGTGATACTGGCAATGGTTATCGAATTTCACAGCATACTTGGCCACCCTTACCTCCCTTTAATAAAAATGGAAGTTATACAGATAACCTTACTTGGAATCAAATACTAACACAAAAACTTTTAAATGGAGCTACTCTACAAGATTTTGCCTATGGTTTTGCAACAATCGATAGTGAATTAGTTCAAGGAAAGATGGGTTCCCATGCCAATATAAATGGTAATTATTCAATTCGAAATAGTACAAAACCACCAGGTGTTCGACAACAAATAAATGATTATATTAACTCGACAATTAACAAAACTGTTGATTTTGATCGAACGCTTTATGTCATTTCGATTGGATCAAATGATTATTATTATGATCAGGCATTAACAACATTCAAAACCGTTCAGAGTATTATTGAATGTATAAATATATTAATATTATTTGGTATAAGAAATCTACTTGTTATTAATTAACCACCATGGGATCGATCTCCTGGCTATCAAAATGAAACAACAAATGCAACTAAAGTTTTATATTTAAGCCATAATAAAGTTTTAGCTGAAAAAATCAATGAAACATATTTTTCATTACATACTCGACTTAACATTCGTCTATTTGATTGTTACACATTTATTTCAAATATTATCGATAATTAGGCAGCTTATGGATTTGAAAATGTAGATAACTGTTGGGATACAGAAAGTAATACGACAGTAATAATTAAATGTGAAAATATAACAAGAAGAATTTTCGCTGATGAATTTCATTTTACTTCAGCGATGCACATGTTAATTGCAAAAAAAATTTATTCAATATTAGGAATATCAAGCTCAACATCAGCAGGGTCAAATTTAATACCAATCATATCATTTTTACTTTTGATTGTAGCTTCTACTATTTTGATTGTAAAATGAGCTCAATATCGATCACTTTTTTCTGAACGTGTGTGGGTGTCCGTATGCATGTGAGAGAAAAGAAGATACACAACGGCACTCCCATCCACACCATTCTTAATGCTTTCTTTTCTTTATAGAAATAATTTTCGAAACTAAAATAATTTTCTCTTAATGAAAGTCTTCTCAGTTCCACATTTCGTTATGATACTTTTGCTGCTCATTCCTTTACGAAATTATAAATCTTGAAGAATTACAATTACGTTGACAAGGTGTAAGATACCCCTCGACTTATATTGATGATAATAATCAATTATATGAGCAATTTCTCGTTTATGTGATACAATTAAAAAACATCTACATCTCATATCAAGACAAAAGTTTTAAACATAATCTTTAGCATTGAACTTCCATTAAATGAGAATATTGGGAGACCAGAATTTCGGCCCACGTAATTTTCGGTCCGGACTTTCGGCCCATCTTTAGAATGACCTCATTGACTCCGAAAAAAAGTTTAATTTTTTTTAATTAATTGCTAGATATAGTAGCGCTGAGCAGGACGGCGTGGCGCAATGTTGAGCAGAATGTCATGGGTGTGGATGTAAGTGTAAGCGTGAGGGATGTGGGTATGATGGTGTAGGCGTATGTGGTATGTTCGTATCTTTTTTACATTGACCGGCCTTCACAGCCATGTGCATGCTCATATCGTCCTGCTCAGCAACACGTCGTCCCGCTCAGCATTTGGATGTGAGTGTGGGTGTAGGTATGACTAAAGATAGTAATGACACCCACGCTGAATGAAATATAAAGTACTCATAAAGATAAAAAATAATTTTACTGGTGCTGCAACTTAATTTAAATTTGGTCAATTGAAAAGTCTTGATGTATGTCAATCATTTGTTCGTCCAGAAAATTTTCATCAATACTTTCCTATATTATAAATTGTTTCAATAAAAAAAATACATGAGGAAAATTAAATATATTTCATTTGTTCTATACAATAACAAAGAACACAAGAATAGTTATATAATATTTAAGTTTCATTTCAATTTGAAATGTCATGCAAAGCGATTCAAACGTATATGAACAACAAATTGTATAAAGCAAATGGTCCTATTTACGATTAAATGTAAAATATTTTATTCCGAACATTTTCATATCAACATAGTAAGAAATATTAGATATCGATCGGAACGTCGAACTAGAAAACTAAGTAGATATTATGATATGCATTACTGTGAGAGATTTTTCACTAGATATCAAATCATTGCTACAGAACATTATGGATTTTTCATTTTAATCAGAGTTCATTCGATTCATCGTTCAGATCAGAAACGATAAAAAAAAACTTATCAATGTGTTATGATGTTTATCGAGCGAAAAGCGTTTCAGTCAAAAAAGAGAGCCAGCAAAAGTCAGTATAGAGAAAACACATTTGGCCAAGATGCATTGCAACGAAAAGAATATTGGCAAAGAAACAAATTTGTGAATGTCAAAAATGGCGGAAAACAACATCAGAACAGAGAGTATGGGTGTAGTGTGTGAATGCGATGGGGAATGAGATCTGACTGTGGATATGTCAGAATGGGTCCGGATAAAAAAAATCCTACACTCATACTCCAACTGTTTTCAAAAGGAACATTAAGAGTAACTAAAACCAAAAATCATAGATTGAACCATTTTTGACTGAAATGGTAGAAATATGTGGATACGTTGATGTATATGTTATCGTCTACAGAGAAAAATGGGAGACATTTGTCTCTTTCAAAGACAACAGATGACAATGTCAGCAAGATGAAACATGATATTTAGAACACTGTTGTCGGTGTGGATTCAGATTGATCTATATCTGTGTTTTTTCTTTTTTAGACATTCTGCATTCTTTGAATCATTCTGAAAAATATGTATGTCGTATAAAATTTACAGTTCACATATTACTCTTTTAAAAAAAATTTCATTGGTTGAGAAGTTACAAAGATAATATTGCAGAACCGAACATTTTTTAAAGCGTTTTGCACCACTTATCATTTTCAAGCTTTTTAACTAATGAAAAAAATTAAAAAAATGCTGAATTCATTGAGCGACAGACGTTTTGTTTTCATATAAAAAATGCGAGCTTCTTTTAATATTGTATGAGTAGCTCCTTTAAAGTTTTCTTTTAACAATATCTTTTTTAAATTTTTTATGCGTACATTCTGTTGCATTCAAGCAGCCATATCCAATAATGTAATAGTATTGCAAGAAAAGAAAAGCTCACTCCTGTTGTGAATGATTCTGATCCTATTACTATTAAAAACTCTTCAGTTTGAAAATCAAATATATTCATGCGTAAAGGAGGGGGGGGGGCGTTAAGCGATGAAATCGGCCCCCTCTCGAAATTGATTTTTACATTTTCCAAGTAGTCTATTGAGATGTCAAAAGTCGATTATCGTTCGAATTAACCAGTTATCCCTAGTTATGCCTGCGCCCGAGCGACTTAAAATTTTGATCTTGTCTGTTTGCTATAAGGTTGTGGTATGCAGTGTTCGCATGAAGTATATTGCCTCCATGCTAAACACTTTTCTATTTGAGTTATATGTCAAATAAAAGCTCCTTCTTTCCTCTATCGAATGACATAAAATAGTATGACAAAATATTGTTCTTTCACTGTTTTCTTCAAATGACTTTGTATACTCCTATGTACCATTATACAGGTACTCATGAGAAAATCCCATTCTATGGTACTAAAAGAATACAGGTCCACTTTGAATTAGTCACTATTCGATAGCTCTTTTGAAGCTCTACAAAATGATACTATTACATTGAGCTTAATTTGTGGGGAAGACAGTTAACTCAAAGGCACAATCCTCNGTGCAGCGAACATGATTTTAAATTAGAGAATTTTTCCTAGAAAAATATGATAATATTATCAGTTTGTTTGAATTAATTAGATATTATCTAGAAATAATCTACCTTGTTACTAATTGCTAGAGACCAAGAGAGTCTATAAAAAATATCAACATACAGTTAATGAAGTTGATTGAAACGCCCATCAAGTAAACAAAGGCACTCAATGAAGTTTTCCAGATGGGCATGCAATTCTAATAGAGTTGAAGAGATATAACAGTTGGATGTGAAATACTGAAGGACACTTGTTGACACCTTATTGAACGTGGACCAACATTTAAGTACCATAAATTACTGAATGTGACATTGATTTTTGCAAATACAAGTGAATCCACATATTTTGCTGAATAGTCTTTTTCATTTTTATTTATATCGATAGCAATTGGTGTAATCTGATTTTTGAAGATATGAATTAAAGACGTTTCGTCTGAATATATATACAGAAGTGATGAGAAAAAATCTAACCATTGTTAATATTGATCAAATTCTAGCATCGACTTTTTTAGTCTTTTTCAATCAAATCTGCAACAAAAATACCAATTTATTCTTCTTCTAAATTTTCTATCATTTATTTAGAGCCATTAAGCATGTCTTTGTAGCTCAGTTATTCATATTTATCATTCCCTCTCATTCTGTTTTTTTTTCTTTATAAGTTTATATTAAAAAATTTCAAAAAATCACTATAAAAACAAATCTTTTTAAATATCTTATTTCTCGTGCAAAATAAATATTCCATATTCACTATCTATTAATATCTTTAATAATAATTTTATTTATATTCATAATCTATGTTTGAGTTTAAACTAAACGCAAAACTATAATTTATCATGAATAAAATATTGAATAATCTACTCAAATATATATTTCTTGGTAAATATATCTTGATTTTTTTTCTCAACCATCCTACAATTATCATATGTATGATTATGATGTATGCACTAATCGTCATTAGCATATTACTTTCTTTCCTTTCTATATTTAGATGATTACTAATCGAACGATAGTATACGAATCTCCATATAATTCTCTTCGTATGTCAATATTTAATACAAATCAATATTTGTTAGGCGAAGAGGTTCGTAATTAGATCTATAATAATATATGTTTGATGAAAAAAGCTTTTTTTCTTTAATTTAGAATTCTTAGATAACAAAGATTGAAAATATATTGGGATGTTCGATCACTATTGATCAATCTTTACCACAACGTTATAGTTTTACAATTTTGTAAGTTTTAAATACAGAACATTTTGTGTATTCAATTACTTATGCTTAAATAGATTTTTTCAAGGAAAAGTTAAAATTACAAAATTTTTCATTGAATAATTTAGTAGTGGACAATTGTTTATTAGCAGACTTTTTGTTATTCTAATTGAAGTACTTGTAACACAAGCACAATATAAATATTTTATCGTATTTGCTTCCAAAATCGGACTAACTCTAACAAGTTATATTAATTGAATGGAACAGACGAAAACATCTTTTTCTTACCATATCAAGAAAAAAATAAACAAGTAGATAATAATTCGTTATAGGTATCATAATGTGAAACAAACTATTGATAGAAACTTGGTGACGAAGATGAAGACAAATTTACAACAAGTAATAAAGAGAAATACATCAAGTTGTTCGAATCCTAGTTGTTTGTATAAATTTATATTTTTAGAACAATCAAAAGCTGATTCGAATCAAAAT